ACACAGAGAAACCCTGTCTCGAAAAAAAAAAAAAAAAAAAAAAAGAAAAGAAAAGAAAAGAAAAAAGAAAGAAAGAAAGAAAGAAAGAAAGAAAGACAAAGACCTACGATCAGAAAAAGGAAGTGAAGCCAGAGATGCAGGAAGTGATGTCCGCAAACACACACACACAAACACACACACACACACACACACACACAACTTAACAGTAAACTTCAAAAGTGTAAACTTGAAAAACTAGTGATCGATGGGGGAAATTAACTACTTAGCTGGAAAAGACCTGGGGATAGCAAAGACAGGAAATGAACCAGAAAGGAAATTATGTCAGCCCAAATAGGAAGTAGTGTGGCAAGAGCAAAGTACTAGTGTGATGTGGGAAGTGACTGCAGAGAGAGAGAACTTTAGGTCAAGAAGGAAGTGATATCAGAACAACACAATGTCAGTTAAACAGAAAGTGAAAGTATTTCCAAAGGGAAGCAGAAGCAAGGCCCACCTTCGTGAGGTAGTAGACAGACTGCTGGAAGGTACACATGATGACCTCATCCAGGAGATCCAAGGCCTCATCACACAATTCCAAGTCGTTGCAGAGCTGTGGGTCTGAGGACAGGCCTGGGGATGAGAGGGGCGAGAGAGGCTGGCTGGAGCCCAGGTCTTCCAGGCTCAGTGTCTGACAGGAGGACAAAGTGGGCCTGGGCCTGTGCTCACCCTCCTGGTCAGCCTCTTTCTCCATCTCTAGAACTTTTTCCTGAACAAAGCTCAGCAGCTCTGTAGTGTTGGCCATCCACAGTATGAGTGGTCGAAGCTCCACAGACACAGCCTCTGGCGTCAGAGGCTCCTCAGGAACTCCCTCGGGGTGGCTAAAGAAAGGGAGGTGATCCCTTTGACTTTAGCTCAACCCTTAACATAAAGACTAAACTCCAAGGCCTGAGTTTCCCCACTAGCAGGCATCACAGAGCCTTCACTAAGGCACCCTGGAGAGCTGAGCTCCAGTCCCAACCCCTTCAGCCTCCAGAGCTGTGGGCCCCAGCTTTCTCTTACTTCTCTGGCTGGCGGTCTCCAATTTCTTTAATTTTTTCCTGTAGAACAGTAAGATAAGAATCAATGTAAGGGGGTGGATGGAGGGATTAGGATGCTACAACTTGGTTTGCCTAAAAGCACCTTTCTTGAGCACGAGTGTGTTGCCTCGCTGTATCAGTGTTTGCCTGAGTGGGCACACATACACTCCATGCATGGAGGCCTGAAGTTCACTGCACTGAGGCAGGGATCTCCCTGAATCTGGAACCCG